GGTCCTGGGACTACTCACCATTTAAGCAGTTTTTAAACAGTCAGTAACCTGAGTCTGGAGAGTATGATTTACTTTGTGAATAATGTAGTGTACTGTAAACTCACAGCTGCTGAAGAGCACAGAAAAGAGCTGGGGGAAGATCTCTGTACTTGCCTTTTCTATTTTCTATTAGATTCTAGTCACCTTCCAGTGACTGATCTATTCGGTTAGATCAGAGAGCACAGCACGACACATATCAGAAGGACCTTTTTAATTTCTTTACTGACAGCTGGGTTTTTTTTTTCTATAGCCTTGGCTTATGGTACGTCTGCAAGACTATTCCCTGCCACTGGGAGCCATTTCAGTTCGAAACCACATCCCCGCTCCTTCATAGAAACATTGTTTGACAGTGAATGCCAAGCTCAAACTGAATGTTAGCATTAATTGGTCATTCTAAACTATTGAATGTTATAAATATTTTAATTCTCTATCCTGTCATTGTTGTAATAATCCCATGGCTTATGGATTCTAACCGTGTTTCCTCTGCTGAGATCTGTATGTAACTACTAAAAAACACAGCACTTCAATAAAAGCCCGAGTCATTTTGGTTATTCTCTTACCCAGTTTAGTACAAATCAATGGTTCTTTCCATACAGACAATGTTAGCTAGTAAGTGGCTCTCAAAGTTCAAGATTTATTTTGATATATAAAATGCAGTTCTGGTTTCTAAGTGTTGTTTTGAATGATGTAAAACACACACCAGCAATGTTGCTGGGATGTGTTAAGGGCATTCCTTAATCTCCGAGAGGAGACGTGAGATTTTCGTAAGTGTATTAGGTATGTCTCCTTTTGTATTTAATTTGCAATCAATGATTCCCTTTAAATTTAGGAAATGTCCCTGTCAAAGCTGTAAATTTATATCATCAGTCCTAAGATGAAAACGAGCATGTTTCTCTATGGATGCAGATCTAATGCGGGAGGAATTTGTGATTCGGCCCTTTAACTTTGGCATTGAAATTTGTGCGTGTGGTGTGCTTGAAAGGAATCCTGTTCTGTGGCAGGCGTCTGTGGAGGCTCCAGGCCTGCATGTTTGGTCAACAAGCAACAGTGGGTGGTCGGCCTGAGCACAGCACAAGGGCCCGCTGTGCACAGGAAAGGATGTTCAAAGGTGTTTAAGGGTGGTAAGGAAGTTGGCCGCCCTTTGGAAAGTCTGGAGGCTATGGACCGTCGTTCCCTCACCCAATGTGGACTATAAGGAAAAGTCCTGCATGAGGCTGGAAAGATGAGGACTAGAGCAAACGTGTTCACCTGGCTCCACATCTGCAGGCTTCTCTGTGAGGCTCTCTTCTGCCCTTCATGTTGTACTGAGTCCGTTAAACAAATACTGACTGTGATTTGCATCTAAAATAGGAAAACTGACACAGCTGGAGTTGAAGAGATCTGACTGATGCATGATAAGGTTTCCTGGAAGTCGGAACTGGAGTTTAAGGTGGAATAATCATTTGCTCTGCTCTTCCTAGAATATAGCTTTCCTGTGAGGCTTTCTGTCCCCATAAAGGGTTTCAGCTTCTGAAACCCTTTACAGCATCTTTAGGCGTTGGAATCAACTCAACAACGCGTAACAACGACGTGGTTAACAGCACATAACAACATTATGGTCTCCCTAAAGTCTTTATAAATAGCTTGAAAAGTTTTTGAGCTCGCAGAAGAGCTTTTACATATATAGATTAGCAAGAGCTGAGTCTTTATCTCATAGAAATTTCCCTGAAGGAAAAAAAAAAGCAAACGCTTCAATTTCTTAATAGTGAATTGTGAAAGACTGGTAGTTTATTTTCTTTTAAGTAAAGTAATACATTTTAAGCTTTTGATTATTTCTACACTACAGTTTTTATTCTTTTAATGACGTGACTAAGATTATTTCATTAGTTGCTGAAGTAAATACCTTCTTCAACTTCTGAAAACAAATTTTCTACCTTCTTTTTCTCTTATTAAAACAAAAGTTCTGTTCTTTGTTTATATAGTATTTCTAAAACTATTTTTCTTAATTCTCTGTTTGTTTATAATTGTTAAATTTTCCCGCAGACTCAAGATTTGAGAAAGAATTCCTTTGAGAATGCTGTTAGCATATGTTAGAGAAACTTTATTTAACTGGAGAAATAAAATACTGACTCTTGATTGCCAATAAAGAAGCTGAGTTAATTTTTAACAAAATTTAAATCTTGAAGGACTTTTTTTCTTCTAAGTGAGTCTGTAGGTAGTATATATGTGTATTTGTTCAGTGTTTTGGTAGAATTATAACTGAATTGTGAGCAGGAGATGCGTATTTTCCATTGTGTCCTCAGCAGTGATTTATAGTGTTGAATGTCAAGTTTAAACCATACAGCCAGAAAAATTCTGAGCTAAAAAGGATGATAAAATTAGAGTTTAGAGTCTTGATGTTTACAGATGATACAACATTAGCTTATGACTGACTCATGGACTGCGTAGTTGTAGAACCCTTTTCAGTTGTATTGCCATGGGAATCTTTGGTAGAATTCATCTTGTCCCGGATTGCAGGTAGAAGGAACAAGCTGTCTCAGTCACCTGCAGGATGTGCCAAGCTAGCATTCTAATGAAAGGCTGGAGTGCTGTGTGTAAGTTGAACAATGTCTTGACTCTCAAGGGGCATGTATCTATTAGATGTTTTCAGTGAGAGAGACCGTGTCACCTCATTGCGCTGGTATGTGATCTGCAGGCCCAGGAGAGCATGGTACAGGAAATGCGGTAATGGTTTTACTACACCCTGAGCTGTAACTGTGCAACTTGTAGAATGTGTATACTTAAGTACATCCAGAGCTGCTGCTACCATATTTTGCAGCAAAATAATCAAGAGAAAAATAAAACTGATTTTTCATTATTTCAAAGCTTTTTACTGCTTTTATGTTTTGCAGAAATTGCTTTTTTCTCCATCTTTGCCCTTTGCTCTTTCATATTAATGCTTATTTATCTTCGAAACAGCTTTATCTTTGTAATAATTATCGTGTGTAATAATTAAGTCACAGAAGAGGCCCCAGTGATGGGCAGTGGTTACCTGCTGGCCATCTGCAGGAGAGGAGACTGCAGTCAGCTCTTCTAAAGATTGTTGTAGTGCGCCCTTGCTTGAGTGGGTTACAGCTCATGGTGACCCTGTGTAGAGTTTCTGAAGAGCCACTGCTAAGTTTGAACTGCTTACCTGGCAGTTAGCTGTCCAGCGCTTCTTCTACAGTGCCACACTGTGTACGGGGAAGTTCTACTCTGTCATATAGGGTGGCTGTGAGCTGGTGGAGTGGACTGAGGGCACACAGCAACAGCCATAGAAATTTAAGTGTAAAAGAATATCAGAACTCTTAAGTTTTGTATGTTTGTTTTGAAGATTTTTGACATTGATAGTAAATAACTTGCAACAGCTGGTATTTGAAGTCGTTTCCATTAGTTGTGTATCCCAAGCACAATCCTTTTTAATCCACTTGAAGCATTTCATTGTAAGACAGGCCAGGGGCAGAATGTGAGGGGGGAGGGAGGCTTTGCCACTTGAGGTTGGTGCTCAGTTAGGCTTGTCCGTCTGTGTGTAGCTCGTGAGCACCCTCTTCTGGACACTCCTCATGAAAACGTCTACAAATGTATTCCAGATGCCAGTGAGGCCTGAGGGGGCATTTGCTTTTCTAGCTCCCTGCTGCTGCGTTGTGTTCTCTGGTAATGCTAGACTACCAATTATGAAATTAGTTCACGTTAAACTTTCCTCTCCTGATACCATAGAAAACTGATGATGTGGTTTCTAATAGAACAAAAGCATATTCTTAATACAAGTTCTGTTATTAGGAGAACAGAACAAACTAATCTTTTGACACTTTTCAAAGTTTAAGATGAACTTAAACTCTTTGAAGAATTCAGTATTTAAATTAAAGTGGTAGAAAACACCAGTGTTGGGGAAACAACTTTTTCTGAGGATCTGCTTCAGCACTGACAATTGTGTTCGTTTTAAGAAGGGTGTATTGTGTAATTTTAGGAAGCAAAAAAGTTTTTTCTTCTTAATCATAAATTTATAGTCCATAAGCCCTCAAGAGTAGCATGTAACATTTTAAAGTAAAGCATTTTCTTCTTGAAGTTTTTGTATAAAAATGTAATGTCATTTTAGCTCTGGACCCCTTTATATTCCCTTGTAAATTCTATCATAAGTTTTTTATATTGATATAGTCCTGAATTCCTACAATTAGCTGCAAAGGAAATGCCACGGTCTCCTTCCTGACCACTCCTGTGGCGACAGGGGCTTCTGTTCCGGTAGCATTTGAAATCCTTGTCAGAAAAACTCTTTTCTGGTTTTCGGGATAATTTGGACTGGGAAACACTGGTGTAGATCTTCTCCTGAGGGCTTTCTGGAACTTTCTGCCAAGAACAAAAGAAAGCAGTATTTTAGTGAGCTGAATCCAGGACACTAAAGCGGATTTCTTGATCACAGTGAAATGTTTGCTTCTGAAGCAGTCCTTGTGAGGGGTGAAAGGCCTCAAACCAGGCCGCTTGCGATAGAAACAGAAGCAGGGAATCAGATTCACACAGCCCAAAGAAAGAACCGATAGGATTTGGGAATTCACATGGGAAAGGGGGTGTCCAAGAAAAAGGGATAAGTCAGAGACGGTTTTGTACCATTAAAAGAAGTGCCAACAAGTTGTTTTTCAAAAACAGAATTCTTCTGATTTATGTTTCTGCCACTGCCCTCCCCCACCCACCCAGTTGCATGAAGGTATGCTTATTAAGTGTGCATAAGCTCCCTCAGGCAGTTTGTCACCTCTACATCAAAATGTTAATGACTGAATCCTCCAAATTTGTCAGGGCAGGAATGCAGTTTAATATCTGTTTAGAGAAAATCACTTTAGATTTTTACTTCCTAAATGCTTTATCTAAAACAGTGGAGCATTTGTGCAGGAAATCACTTCATAGAAGTAATCCTTAAAATCAACTAGGGAAGGAAAGACACTGTGTGTACAAATATCACCTCTGTCTTCCAGGCGGCCCGGGTCTGCACAGCCCCATGTTGGATCTCGACAGTGATGTACGCCCCTCCGTACTGGGTCACCTGAGTCAGACAGCATCACTCAAGAGGGGCAACAGCTTTCAGTCCACTCGAGATGACAGTAAGTTCCCCTCCCTGCCTGGCCTCTGCCCCTCAAGTCTTTTGACTTGGTACTCTTGTATAATTTTGAATTTTCTTCTCGTGGAAAATTCAACCATTACTGCTGTTGCTACTACTAACTGTTTCCAACTGACGTCGCTCATGCTTATTAAGTAACTACCTGGTTTTTAAATTTAAATAATGAAAATATTGTATATTAGAAAAATGTTATTTAATCTTGTTTTAAGTGATTGGATATAGCATTTATTCATCTTATTTAATTACAGTCCTTTTTATGGCTGAATTAAAAAAAAAAATGCCAGATGAAAAATTACTTGGGATCTTGTTTTAAAGATGAAACTTACAACAGATGTAATTCCTGTTGTCAGTACAGAGAAATAAACAACTTTTTAATGAATTTTAAATTTTGGTTTGAAAGGAAGGATTGTTAATTAACTATAAGCTAATTGCTGATTTTTGGGGGGATGCAGTATATCCTAAATTATACAGTATTATATTGCTTGTTAGTATTTGATTGTTTTCCTCCCAGACAGTGTGGCTGTCATAGTCCTGAGTGTCTGGTTTTGTTGTCTGCGCTTTGTTTGAGTTCTGCGCTGTTTTAGCGGGCAGTTAACTTATTCACTATCAGGCTGACCCCATCAAGCCTGTTGTTCAGTTTTGCTGGCGCTGCTCTAGAGTCTTTTTTCAGTCCTTATAGCACATCATGGGCATCCTGGTTGGTACCATAGCATAAGCACTCCACCTCAAGGTTGGTTTGAAGTGCAAGGCTGGTAGTTCAAACTCACCAGCCACTCCTCGGGTCACTGTGAGTTGGAACTGACTCGATGGCACACAGCAACCACCACCACCAAGTCCTGATTTCTGGAGTCTCTGCTGAATGCCCCAGGTAATTGACGAGAGCCGCTTGCTCTGCTGGCTGGAGCTACATTGTCTTCTTGACACTGGTCATCTCCGGGAATTGTTTGATGTATAAAGTCACTGGTCGATTTTTACCTGACTTTGTAAAGCTCTGCTCTACATACTCATAGCCTAGTACTGCCTGTAGATTGAGAAGATGGTGGATGTCTGCAGTTGATTTCCAAGTAGCTTCTTCCTTTCCAGAATTCTCTGTACCAGTTTTCAGTCTCTGCACTCTCCTGGAACTCCAGCTTTCATCTTTTCAGCCCAGAAAGACCCTATTACACTCCATCATGGCTGGAAGTGGAAGTTGAATAACTCAAATTTAATTTCCTTTGAAATGAAATGTAATGGACTGCTTACACAAAACACTTTTGTGTTGTTTTTGTTACATGTCATCGAGTCAGCTCTTACTCATAATGAATCGGTGCACAACAGAATGAAACACTGCCCGCTCCTGCGCCAACCTCACAATCATAGCTACTCTTTTCTTTCTTTCTTTAAAGCTTTCATTGTGAATTTAGTGATAGTTCACATGGGAGAACATAGTTTTTCACCCAACCAATCATATTTTGTTTCATTGCAATGATTACAGTCCCCTCCATGAGCCATGGGCTAACAATATTTGCCTCTATTCTTTTTTTTTTTTTTTATGTACACAGAAACATGCAGGATATCTAATCATTTAAACAACCAAAGGGCACATTCTGCCAGCCAACCCTTGCTGCCGGCATACAGCTTTTCTGTTTCCATGAGTCTAGAGTCCTCAGCTGCTCTCTCACTCTGCCATCACCTGTGTCTCCATCTCTGGTGTCGCTGCTTCTCTAGTTGGGGTCCCATGTTCTGCTCATGCTCTTCTCTCTTGATGGTCTTAGGGTCTTCGGTTCCTGCACTATAAGAGTAACTACTCCCCCTTTTTTGTTATACGACTTCTACCTTTACAGTTGTGACAATTGCAAGTAGTCATGATAACAGTTACTCAATACTGAGTTAAAAGAATCCTATCCCCATCTCCTTTCACCAGACCCACCTAAACAAGATGAAAACTATTCAGTGGGGACTCTACCTTCCATGACTCACTCTGAAATGAAACTCCCTCTTGAAAACTTGTGAAGCCAGTCACTTCATGTCTTTATGACTGCTACCCACCACCTGCACCCCCCATTTTAGGTAGCCAGTGTCTAAGTTGCCTCTCCTTATCAACCCTGTGTACTGAAGGGGGATAGGCTTGATTCTTGATGTGAAGACTCCTTCCCTCTCGGTTGGTATTTTGAGCTACTACATCCATAACTAAAGGTCAAGTTCATCAAATTGTAGAAATTTACACCTGCTTCCTGTATCAAACTTCTCTGTCTTCCTCTAGTTGAGTTCTGAACATCAAACTATCCAAAGTAAGTCAAATGGGTGCTATCAGCAAGTTTGGGCATTCTTGTGTGCCTCCCACCACCTCATATCAGCTAGATACTTCACTCTCAGCTCTAGCCTACCATGGCTAGGTCAGTGTCCATGGCTCAGGAGTTCCCAGGTCTCCCAAACTTCAGACCAACCAGCTTGGCCTCTTCTCTCTCCCATCTTAAGGTTGACAGGAGTCTATGGAATGTGGTTGAACTCAGCCCATGTTTCCATTACTGCTTTCCCCCCTCTTCCACTCACAAGTAGATGAACGCAGTCACTACTGAGCTTACAGGACTGCCCATGTGTTCCCTTTGAGTTTCAGTCTTGGAAAGGGGTTTGTCCTGAAGGGACTTGATGGCTCCCAGGCAAACAGCTTAGCCAAACAGTCTTCCTGGCTTTTGTTGTTTTTGTTTCTGTTTTTATTTCCTGCTGGTCTTTCTGGTCCTCTAGCCACTCCAGGTTGGTCTGCGTGTCCTTTCACGTGGGACGGTCCCACCTCAGAAAGTTCTGGGTGGGGCACAGGATTTCACCTAAGTTCCCACCCACTCACAGTCATAGCTACTCTTCATACCATAGCTGCTTGCCACTGTGCCAATCCATCTGGTTGGGGTTCTTTTTCTTTTTCTCTGACCCTCCAATTTAACAAGTGTGATGTCCTTCTCCTGGGACTGGCCTCTCCTGATAATATGCACTAAGTATGAGAGACGGAGTCCCATTACCCTGGCCTCTGAGGAGCGTCCTGACTACTTCGTCCAGCACAGATTTGTTTATATTTCTGTCAGTGTTTGGAACTTTCAGTATTCTCCTCCAACACCATAGCTTAGATGCATCAATTCTTCTGTGGTCTTCCTTATCCATTGCCCAACTTGCCCATGTATACGAGGCTATTGAAAATACCATACCTCAAATTGACATCTTTGCTCTTGAACACTTAAAGAGGTCTTGTGCAGCAGATTTGCCTAATGTAGTATGTAATTTGATTTCTTAACTGCTGCTTCCATGAGTGTTGATTGTGGAGCCAAGCAAAATGAAGTCAACCTTTTCTCCATCAGGAGCACTGATGTTCTCTGCTCCCTAAATTCCCTAATATGTTATTTATTGGTGCTGTTATAAGGAGTTTTGTTTTTTTTACATTGAGGTGCAACCCATACCAAACGCTATGGTCTTTGATCTTCATCAGTAAGAATTTTAAGTCCTTTTGCTTTCAGCAAACAAGGTGTCATCTGCATATCACAGGTTGTTAATTAGTCTTCCTTCAATCCTGATGCCACCTTCTTCATATAACCCAGCTTCTGGGTTTACTTGTTCAGCATACAGATTGAGTAAGTATAGTGAAAGGATACAACCTTGGCACACATTTTCCTGATTTTAAACCATTCAGTCCTCCCTTGTTCTGTTTGAAAGACTGCCTCTTGGTCCATGTACAGGTTTCTCTTGAGCTCAATTAAGTGTTTTGGAATATCCATTCTTTGCAATGTTATCCATAGCTTGTCATGATCCACATAGTCAGTAAAGCAAATGTAAACATTTTTCTGACATTCTCTGCTTTCAGCCAAGACCCATCTGATGCCAGCAATGATATCCCTAGTTCAATGTCCTCTTCTGAATCTGGCTAGAATTTCTGGCAGTTCTCTGTTTTCAGTCATTTTTTAATTATTTTCAGCAAAATTTTAATTGCGTCTAATATTAATGATGTCGGAACCTGGTGTAGCGCCGTGGGTTAATGTGCTAGACTGAAAAGCCATTTGAACTGCAAGGTCGGCGGTTCAAGCTCACCAGCTGCTCCTTGGAAACCCTATACAGGGTCGCTGTGGGTTGGAATCGACTTGAAGGCACTTAACAACAACAGTATTAATGATATTGTTCAATGATTTCCTCATCCCATTGAGTCACCTGTCTTTGGAATGGGCACCCATATGGATCTCATCCAATTGACTGGCCAGGTAGCTGTCATCCACATTTCTTAACCTAGATGAATGCGCGCCTCTAGTGCTGCAACAATTTGTTGAAAGATTTCTGTGTTCTGCCCAGTCTGGGAGCCTTGTTTTTCACCAATGCCTTCAGGGCAGCTTGGACGTCTTCCTTCAGTACCATCAGTTCTTGATCCTTTGCTACTTCTTGAAATGGCTGAACAGCAACCATTTATTTGTTTTTGGTACAGTGACTCTGCATATACTTTCCAAGTTCTTTTTATATTGTTCCTTCTATTTTATCAGTAGAATCCTTCAGTAGTTCAAGTTGAGGATTGAGTTTTTTCTTCAGTTCTTTCAGCTTGAGAAATGCTGGTCTTGTTCTTCCCTTTTGGTTTTTTTTAATTCCAAGCCTTTGCATAATTCATTATGACTTCATCTACTTGAGCTACCCTTTGAAATTTTCTGTTTAGCTCTTTTACCCCCTCATTTCTTCTGTTCATTTTAGCATCTCTACACTGCAGAACATATTTCAGAGTCTCCTCTGACATTCATTTTGTTTTTTTCTTTCTTTTCTGTCTTTTTAATGACCTTTTGCTTGCTTGCTTATATGTTTTTCATGTCATCCCACAGCTCTTCAGATCTTCAGTCATTAGAATCTAATGCATCAAATCTGTTCTTGGGATGATCTATAAGTTCAGCTGGGATGTGTTTAAGATCATATTTTGACTCTCGTGGACTTGTTTTAATATTCTTCAGCTTCATCCTGAACTTGCATATGAGCAATTGATGGTCTATT